ACTTCTCTTCCTCCTACTCGTAACACTGGGGAAGGTGTGGCGATGTGTTTGCCGGATATGGTTCTGATTTTCTTCCATACATCTGAGCTTGGGGTCTCTGAAGTGATGTCAGATACATATTTTTGCCAAGAATTTCTTTGGCCTGCTAACATCAATCTCCGTGCTCTAGCTCTGGCTTGTTTGAATTTCATCATATTTGCCAGAGTTGGGTTTCTTTTGAAGACATTGTAGTTATGCTTTTTGCCTTTAATGGCTTCTTCAATTTGTTGATCCCACCAGGGTACTATAGGTTTACCAGGTTGTATGTTTGCTTTAGGGATGCTGTCGGAAGCAGCATTCAATATACTGTCAGTAACGTTGCTGCCTATTCGCATTGGAGTCAAATGTTCTCGATATTTCTCCCAATTTGCCTTTTTAACATTCCACCTTTCTGCAAGTGGAACACTTGTATTTTGTACGGCACAGTTAAGTAGTATTGGGAGATGGTCAGATGAGTGATCATCTAAAACTTCCCAATCAAAGAGATATGATACACTTGGGCTACAAAGTGCCAAGTCTATCGCACTGTAGTTGCACGACCTAGAGTTAAGAAATGTTCCTTCGCCTTTATTCAGCACCATTAAATTTGCTTCGTTAATTATATCTTCCACTATCCTCCCTCTGGTGTCCAGTTTTTGTGAGCCCCAAAGAGGGTTATGCGAGTTAAAATCTCCTACTAAGAGAAAGGGTTTGGGAAGCTGTTCACATATGCTTTTCAATTGATTATATTCCCAGTTTTGATTGGGTAGGTATATGTTGCATATGGTCAATTTTATAGGTACTATTAGTTGAACAGCAACAACCTGAAGCTCGGATGTGATGTTGACCTCTGTAAAGGGGATATTTACATCCAGAAATATTGCCATGCCGCCCTTGGCACGGATTTGCGGCGTATCATCCTTTCTTACACATTTGAACCCACGTAGCTGAAATTTCGTGGTTGGAGAGAAATGGGTCTCTTGAAGACAGAGACAAAAGGGCTTTTTCTCCTGCATGAGTAGTTTCAGTTCTGGATAGTGATTAACACACCCATTAATATTCCACTGGACGATGGATTGCATGAGTAGAGTAGATTTATTTTACACATGCAAGGTTCAGGAGAAGATTAAGGATATTTACATATGTATATAGATGATGAGAGATAAATAAGCAAATAGGTGAGGGACTAAATAAATAAATAAATATATATAAATAGACAAATAAATAAGTAAATAAATTAATGAATAAACAAGTAAATAAATTGAAAAGTACATTATAAGTTTATCAAAATATCACAGTTAATTTTATCACAGAAGTATCACAGTCTCCGACAACTGCTCAGTTTCGGAGTTCTGTTGATTGGGACGCTCTGTATCATCACTCTGAACGGGTTGTTCCGACTGAAACAGTGCGGTTTTATTTGTTTTACGAGGTCTGCCTTTTTTCCAGCCTCGTGTACCCTTTTTTGCTTCTGGATCGTCAGTCTGAGACGAGGTGAGACTTTCATCAGAAAGTTCCGATCCATCTACAGGAGATGTAGCTTTTCTTTTAGACGAGTTAGAAGCATCTGATTGACTTCTAGTTCTAGACGCAATCCCATGACTTATCTTTGGCAATGGAGCGACAAATTGCTGGGGTGTGCTGCTGCATACTGCTTTGTTTTCTATGGCTTCCGAGATCGACGTTCTAATTATAGCTGTTAGACGTGGTATAATCTTCTCTATTATTTCATCGTCTGGGCGCTTCTGAGATGCTTGTGCATATGATAAATTTGCTTGCGGGGTAGGGATTACTACCTTCCTTCTAGCTTCAGCATAACTCATTTTCTCGATAGTAATAACTTTCTGTATAGCTGATTCTGTCTTATACCTTGGACATAATTTGGAGTTTGCTGCGTGAGGACCATTGCAGTTCACACACTTTATGGGCTGATCACAAGATTTTCCAGTGTGTATTTTCTTACCGCAAATGCAGATTTGTTCCTCTTGGCATGATATCGAGGTATGGCCGTACCGTTGACATTTGAAACAGCGTACAGGGGGTGGGATATATTGACGAACAGGTAGTTTGTACATCGCGCAACTAAGTCTCTGTGGTATGTTCGGAGAATTGAATGTAATTATGTGGCCTGGAGTGTCTTGTAGTGCATTATCCTTCTTTACTTTTATACGTTGTACCTTTATTACTCCTTCAGATTTTAACTCATCCATAATTTCAGCTTCGGAACAGTTTAATAAATCCCTGCAGTAGATTACGCCTCTGCTAGAATTCAGAGAGGCATGTGGTTCAACGGTAACAGGAAAACTAGCAAAACTTTCTACCTTCAACAATCGATATGTTTGACCATCTGTTCTTGTTTCAACTAGCAGCCCAGCTTTAATTTTCTTCACAGAATTGGATTCTCCAATCAAGCCGCATAACGTCTTTGATATCAGAAATGGACTTACTTTCATGAAATTATCGCCATCTATTCTCTTTATTACCAGGAATCGGGGGGTAGGACCAGCCGACCCCTTGGTAATATTACTGTGTCCAGTGGTAGCTCTGCATGTAGCTCCACCTTCGCTGTTTTTGCCTACATTTGAGGAGGTAGGCGCACCTTTTGTTTTTACTTTGTCTCCCATAGTATTGTGTTTGTCTTCACCTCCCCGGCTCCCCACCCTCCACGGAGCCTCAATGGGAGGTTATGCCCATAATCGCCTTCCGCTAGGACATAACCCCAGGGATACCGTTAATCCTAGGAAAAGGAGGTATAGTCCCCACAGGTAGCTCCACCATACATCGAGCATAGCGAACTATTCCCGTCTGGCTTCTACTACCTGTGGAGGCTCGCCCAACCAGCCCTCTGACGGGATGGCACAGCCGATTGACCGACGCTGGGCTAGGCGCGGCCGCCCTTCTAGACTGACCGCCGGACCAAAGTGGCGTGTTGCCCCCCTGACTGGTAGGGCTCAACCACCAGGATTCCATTGGCCAGCTTACGGGTCGCCGGGCACGGCACAAACACCCGGGAGGCTAAGAGGAAGCCCCACGCGCCGCCTCAACGCATGGGGGAAGGAAAGGACAAGGAAAGTCGGGAGGGCAGCGGACAGCTGCACAGGATATAATGAAAGGAGAAGGATGGGAGAAAGGGGGAAGGAAAAGCCCAGGGTTTGGCAGAATGAATAAGACTACCAAACCCCGAACTCCCTGCCTGGGGCCGTGGGGGCGACGCTCCCCATGTATCTTCCCTTGGAACCGGATCAAAGATCCAGCTTCAAAAGTAGATACCCCCTGCGGGGTATTATTATTATTATTATTATTATTATTATTATTATTATTATTATTATTATTATTATTATTATTATTATTATTATTATTATTATTATTATTATTATTATTTTATACTATTTTACTCCTCTGTCGAAGGTATTAATATTTCCCTCAGGCGGTTAGCCAAAGTAAGGAAATAGATCTGCAGCGGTCTTTTCACCGTATCCGGTTCTCATCTCCTAAAACCCTACGTACTGTCCTACATGTTCCCAGCAGTGCAGCTTTTTGCAGTTGCAAGTATATTTTTGGATGGAGCTGTAGCTTTTCCAGACTCTTGTGTAGTTTCCTTGGTATCTCTCCAGTAGCTCCTATTATAACTGGTATTATAGACACATTGCCCATTTCCCACATGCGTTTGATTTCGTCGGAGAGTGGCAAATACTTATTGATTTTTTCCGCATGGGTGGTTTGGATATTAGTAGGAAGAGGCACAGCTATGTCTATTATAAACGTCGTTCTTTCTTCTTTTAGTGTGAGCACTATGTCAGGAATATTGTTGGGGATGGGCCTGTCAGTTATGATTTTACGGTTCCAGTACAGCCTAGAGGTCTCCGTTTCTATCACAGGTGGCGGCGTGTATTTATAGTAGGGCTGTGTACCAGTTTCTCCTAGATGCTTTTTAGCCAAAGCTTGATAAAGTATTTTGGCCACATCATTGTGCCTTTCAAGATATTGTTTAGGAGCTAAGGGAGAGCACCCTGCTACAATATGATCTATGTGCTCATCTTTTTCCCCACATATGCGGCATCTGATATCGTCAACGTTCTCATGCATTATACGCTTTCGGCAGTGGCGGCTCGTGAGGTAGTGCCACGGTGCCATGGCACTACCTTGTCTTCTTCAAAAAGAATATTTTTTTCAATCTTCAATGTTTTACTTTATTTTCTGCTTTTTCATTTTTTTTGGTATAAATTATATGAAGTGACAACACTGACAACGTGACAACACCGCAAGCACCCGAACCACGCGACGAGACGGAAAGCATGCCTTGACCTTGACGTCATCAACTTGTGCCAATTTTGGGCCGGCCCAAATAAAAAGAGAGAAATTTTACCAGCATCGCATACGAGCGACAGAGATAACGCTACCCTACACATTTTTATATGAGGTGAATAGCGAAAGACAAGTATAATTTGTGCCAGGCACATCATCAGTCGTAATTCGTTATCAAGTGATATCGGCGGTGTTTTTGTTCGGTCGGTCGTTTCGTTATGATTACGTCTAGTGCTGATTTCGTTCTTTTTTTACCTGAAAAGTGAAAAATACCTTTTTTGTTTTAGTACGTCTAGTGTTAATGAACTGCTGTGTTTTGTGATCATATTTTTTACTGTTTTATTAAAACTAGTGAAAATGAATAAAATCGGGATATTAAAAAACTCATTCAGTGGTTTTTCGCTGGATCAAAAACTGCAAATTAAAGAATTAGGACGGCCAATACCCGATTTAAAAATTGAGAAACAAAGTGGTAGCGGACAAAAATCGCGCTGTCGCAAATTTAATAAAAATGTGTACGATAAAAACAGCTGGATATGTGGTTGTGAAGAAACGAATAAACTATTTTGTTTTGTATGTGTTCTATTTGGAGGTGACGAGACTTGGTCAAAAAAGGTACAGACGATCTTATACATATATGGGATAAAATGAAGACCCACGAAAAATCTAAAGTCCATATGAATAATGTTTTTAGCTTTTCTATTCTTGGTAAATTAAATATAAGGACTCAACTCAATTCGGCTTATCGCAATGATCTAATTAAACATAATAATCAAGTGGATAAGAATCGATATGTATTGAATAAAATTATTAATTGTATAAGGTTTTGTGGAGCATTTGAGTTAGCCTTAAGGGGTCACGATGAAAAGGAAAATTCGGAAAACAGTGGCATATTTAAGGAGCTGGTGAATTTTAGCGCCGAATTAGACAACGAATTGAAAGTCCATATTCAAAGTGCCAAACTTTTCAAGGGTACCTCAAAAACAACTCAAAATGAGCTTCTTGAGTGCATGCTAGATGTTTATCATGAAGAAGTTAAGAAGGAGATTCCAAATTCTCCTTTTGTTGCAGTAATTGCCGATGAAACGACTGACGTAGCCTGTGAATTTCAGTTAGTTATTATTTTCAGATATTTGTGTAAAGGACAACCAGTTGAGAGATTTTGGAGATTTTACGTCCCCGACGGACACGATGCCAAATCAATCGCTGCATGCGTTTTAAATGTTGTAAATCCATTACTAGATCAAAATCCAAAAAAATTAATAGCTCAAAGCTATGATGGTGCGTCTGTTATGAGTGGTGAATTGAATGGCGTTCAAAAAATTATTAAGGAAACTTATCCACTTGCAAAGTATGTTCATTGCTATGCACACCAGTTAAATCTAATTATGACAAGCGCATGCTCTGTCAATAAGCAGGCTAGAATATTTTTCCATAATTTATCTGGATTGTGCTCTTTTTTTTCGACGTCTCCTCAAAGAACAAAAATTTTGGATGAAATAGTTAATCGCAGATTGCCAAGATCTTCCCAAACACGTTGGAATTTTCAGTCACGAGGTGTTCATACAGTTTATGAAAATAGGAAAGACCTGATTGAAGTTATGGACAATATAGAAAGTACTTCACGCGATTGTTCGTCGATTAATCAAGCCAGTGGGTACAAATTAAAGCTGCAAGATACAAATTTTGTATTTTGGCTAAGTATATTCCATAAAATAATGCCACATGTTGAAATTGTCTTTAACCAATTACAAAAAGTATGCACCGATTCTGTTAAGGTCAAAAATGATTTAGAGAATTTTGAAGCAGCAATTCAAACTATACGAGAACAAATGGATAGCATTATTGACGAGATTGAACGAGTGCAGAGAGAAACTGATGAACCGCCAAGAAAAAAAGGCAAGTTGAAGAAGGCAGCAAAAAACGGGAAGCGTTAGAAATATGCGATGCAGTATTATCGCAAATAAGAACAAGATTTAACTTTTCTGGCCATTTAGTTGCTTCTAATTTATTTGTGTCTGAAAAGTTTTCTGTTTATAAACATCAGTTTCCTGAAGCACATTTGAATGACACATGCACACAATTTTCATTTTTAGACAAAAACAGGCTTAAAACTGAGTTACAAGTATTATATCAGAGAGAAGAATTGAGTACTACTTCTGGAGCTGTTCCACTATCCATTTTATTGAACGAGGAAGGATTAAATTGTACGTTTCAAGAAACTCTTAAGCTCTTAAGTATTTTAATCACTATACCGATGTCAACATCTGAAGCAGAACGCTCTTTTTAAATGCTGAAACGGATTAAAACTTTCCTCAGAAACACAATGAAGGAAGAAAGGCTTAGTGCTTTAGGAATGCTGTCTGCAGAAAAACATTTTGTTAGTGGCATTGAAAATTTTAATAATAAGGTAATCGAAAACTTCGCTACCAAAAAAGAAAGAAGAATGGACTTCATGTATAGAAAACTTTGAAGTTATAGGTACTTCTCCACACTTGTTTTATAATTTGGTGCGCGTGTGTAAATAGTTTTATTTTTGATTTTTTTTGGACATATAGATTTATTGAACCTCAAGAACTTTGACCACTAACTATCAGGGGTAAGTTATAAGTTATTCTTTACAATTTTGAATCGATTCAAAATTATGGCTTCCATTCTGGCACTACCTCACTGAATTGGCACGAGCCGCCACTGGCTTTCGGTACAACTTTGTTGGGACTACCTGATCCTGGATGGAGGCTATGAAGCCCTCCGTCTCCAGGAACAGATTACCTGACTGCAACCATCCTTGGGAAGCCTTCGTGTCAATGGCGTTGTCTTCTATGCGGCTCCTATACCGACCATGTAGTGGTTTGGCTTTCCATTGGCGAACCAGATCCTGCATTGGGGTTATCTTTGCCTCAGGGTCGAAAGATTTTTCTGAAAGGTTTAGTGGTGTCAACTTTTTATCCGTCTGTGTTATTGCTTGATGCATTCTGCTGGATGTGGCTTTTTGGAGGAAGTACTGGCGTAGATTGTCCACTTGGCGGTGATGTAGTGTAGGTATGCAAGGTATTCCTCTGCCACCCTCACTTCGTGGTAGATGGAACCGCTCTATGGAACTATGTGGGTGGTGCCCCCGGTATTTACGGAATTCTTTTCTGGTTTCCACATTAAGTGCGTTCAGTTCTGTATCCG